ATAACAAAGAAATTTTCTAGTTTTTTTCCTCTAGTTAAAAAATGAATTATTTAAAACGTTTATTTTTATTATGTTAATTTCTCTTTTCACCTTTTTAAAGATTATGTGATAAATTAAATGTATATTTGATAACTTATGGTTAATATATATTTGATAAATATATATTAAACAAGATATTTATGTTAGAACAGTGTTTAGTAACTTTTGCTTATCTTGCTGTGAAAACACATTCAGTGGTTTTTATTTTTAAACATTGGCTAACAATTAGACCAGTATGAATCATCTTTGTAACTGTGATTAACTCTGACTTAATAAAGTTCTTTTCTAATTCAACAGCCTCTCGCATTTGTCTAACGGGCCGTTTACTTACATTTATCTAATAGCAATAGGCCTCTGGTTTATTACCACAGCCGGCCAGGAGATGACAGTGTTGTTATTTATAAAAAGATGAATGTGAGTTTAACAAGTATTTGGCACAGATTAAGAGATTTACCTGTTTAGAGGGTGAACATTTTTTTAATCAGATGAAGGCTCTGCTACCAAGAAGAAAGAATGTACCACAAAGAAGCTCTGCGTACATTTAGATAATTACAGATAAGCTTAGAAAAACACCACAACTGATTATAATTATTGGGATGTTTCAAGAACCGGACAAGCAGGTTGCAACTCTTTAGTTATAAAGTGTAGTACATCTGCTCCTATGTTCTTTTTACTCCTTTCAACCCAGCACATTAAAGTGTAGACATTAAAAACAAAATGTGCTAATTAATAGAGCTTAATAGAAGGTACACAACTAATAAAGTGATGTTAGTTGAAAAGAAAAGGTTTAGGAGATTAGTGAAAAGGCTCTTTTGAACTGACTAATAGGGACTTATTTTTTTAATTAAAAGAAAACACACCCAAATGGAAACGTGGAAGATTAGTTATATTGACCTGACCACTCTTCTTATTTACATATACAAGAGTGAGTGGAGAAAAGCGACAGCTGTCTAGACACGAGGCCTGAAACAAAGAAAGTCAGGTTATACACCAGGTGTGGGCAACTCCAGGCCCCGAGTGCCGGTGTCCCGCAGGATTTAGATCTCACCCTGGGTCAACCCACCTGAATCACATAAGCAGTTCATTACCAGCCTCTAGAGAACGTCAGGACATGTTGAGGGGGGCATTTAGCAGTTTAAATCAGCTGGGTTGGTTCAAGGGCACATCTAAAACCTGCAGGACACCAGCCTTCGAGGTCTGAAGTTGCCCACCGTTGTTATACACAGACACAGAAAGCTCACTGAGGACACCTAGTGTACAGGTGCTGTGCAACAATTTTTTTCAACGTCTTAACCCTTGTATGGTGTTCGGGTCTGTGAGACCCGTGTTCAGTTTTTTTCAAAAGAAAAATTAAACAATTAATTATTTTTTCACGTGTAAATGTGTTGTGTCTTTCCACTCACTCCACTTGATTATAACTGATTTATTTATAACATTTTATATAAAAGAAAAACGAGAAGCACATTAATTCATAAATGTGATCTAACAAAGGTAAAGGGAAAAAATTAACCATGTTTGCTGTTCATATGTCTTGTAATTGGGATGAAGTAAACATCTGTTGAGTAATTTAACATAAAATTGTTTGATAGTGTTAATTTGGAAAGCCAAAACTCTAGCGGGTCCACCAGACCCATGAACACTGGCTGAGTAACAAAAATACGAACACCACACAAGGGTTAAACAAAGAAAAAAAGTAGAGGCAAACCGAGGAGGTGTATCAACCAAATCTTTTAGCTTGTATGCTGTTTTTGCTAGACCTTTTTGGCTTGTAAGTCTTGAAAAGGAAGTAACACCTCTTGCTATACCTTGCAAACAGTAAGTGTTTCATATATATACATATATATATATATATATATATATATATATATATATATATATATAAAACTTAACATAAAACACTGATGTAGAAGAAACAGGTCCTCAACACAAAGAAAGTCAAGTAATACAGAGAGGAAAGAAAATCGCTGAGGACACGCTCTATAAAATCTATGCATTATGTGTCTCCAGAGGGCTTGAGAGGTGATAGCATATCGGCATATTTTTATAGTAAAAGTGAACCAAATATCTGAAATACCAAAAATGCTGGGATTATTTAATTTATGGGACAGACACTTACCAATTTGAGTTAAATGATGAGCTCTTATTACATTAATTTGATTTTTTTTTAAAGTCATTGCTGGTTGCAGAGTGTCAAAATGCCCGCATATCTTTTTATATTCATCGCAAAATACCAAATATCCCACAATGAAAAAGCCTTGAAAGCATGTGAATTTGAGAACCTACTTAATTCTCCAAGTTGGAACATCAGTCCATCATCTCCAGTGATTTGTTGTTTGCTCTGAGATGAAAATGAGCTGCAGATAAAACACTTGTGTTTTACCCTGAATAAATGCTTTAATTCTCATTTTCAAAAGATTTCTGAATGACTTTAAAGAGAAGGGATGGTAAAAAGAGAGATTAACACCAGCTGCTTTCTGCATCTAGTTAGCAGCGAAGCCCCTGTGTCCCAAATTTTCATGGAGAATACGTTCTTTTGTGAATTGTTTTTGCCCATCTGGTTTTGTTTGCAGCTCCATCCCAGAGGACTTGTTTACAGCTCTGTGCATCTTCTCAGAAATCAGAACTCATACTCTGACTTGCAGTTTTACTGTGTGATCATGTACACAGATGAAAGGTTTCTGCTTGTTTGCCTCTTTTGTGTATTTATGAAAGTCTTAAGAGCGTGAGGACGAGACAGATGTTTGACACGCTGTTATGCAGTGTGTCCAAGTATTGACGTGATTGGTACAAATGTTGGAGTAGCAGGGAGTTTACATGTCAGTGCTGGCAGTGATGGGATGGTAATGTGTGCCATCAATTTTCACCCTGGTATAAATCATGCAGACCTGACAGCGACAGAGACACCATATAGGAAACTGTGCGGAGCAGAAACCAGAATATGGTGAAAGTAAGGTCAACACCAAGCACCTCAAACACACTCAACACAAATTATAGGGAAACCACTGGAAATACAAATATCATAAAGTGAAGAGAAGCCATGTGAACTTAATATTAAGTCTCTTTCAGTTATAATATAGGAAAAGTGGTAAACCGTACAGGGAAAAACCGTAATAAAACTTTCTGTTATGCATACTTATAGTTTTACAGATGCATTTGTCTTAAGAGGCTTAAACTATTTAGAGCACATCTGGAGCTGCTTTAGATTTAACGTCCTGCTCTGACCCGTGTGCTGCAGGTGCTAATAATCAATAAACTGATTTACAGTCAACATGCCTTCTATTGACTTTAGCACGAGGATAACATATCAAATAGCCATTCTTCAATGAGAAAGTGGACTTCTATCAGAATCATACAGTGATAAAAACAGTTTGTATGTATGGAAAACATTTTTCCCAGTACTCATTAGCAGTTTAGAGATTTTGCCCTGTGAGGTTGGTTAAAACTACCAAATGTTCCAATTTGATTGAAGTAAGTTTACTATGAATTATACCTAAAGCTTCTTTAATCATAGTAACCATGAAATCTACAGACGTGAAACTAGCGGCATATGTGTGGTTTACTAAGGTTAAAACTTTCTATTTAAACGATGACTATATATATTAAAAAATGCCTTAAATCTATGTATATTATAGCTAGACTATAGTGATATACATGCCCAAATTATGACTAAAGACTCAATACTTCACACATACAACATATTACATGTAGAAGGTGCAAGCTTCCACCAAGACAGCTCACTCCTGGGCAGTTTTTTATCCTAAAAAAAAGAAATGCTCTCGTATTTTCCTTTTAAAATGTAAAGCCACTGTCCACGAGCAAATATAGGTGAATTTACCTGAAGATAATGTAAACAGGCTACAGCAGTCTGAGAGTGTAGTATAAAACGGTGGTCCTTTTGTTCTTGATCAGCCAAAAGGGACAATTTATTTACAAGAACTCCATCCTTACCACACCAACAAACTCCCAAACCGATTTTACCAATCAGTGTAAAGTTTCTTATCTTATATATCTAAAAACAGGAGCAGATAAAGTAGATCAGTATGGTACAATGATGTAGCCCAAATTTGTCCCACACACAATATAAATTTTATTAATATTATTCTTTTTGAGATTAAAATCTATTTTTGTAGATAAATATCAAAGTGCCATTTCAAGAAAAAAGTTAAAATAATTGTCACCCTTGTTCGAGATTAAACTTGAAATATTATTTCAACTTTTCTTTCAAAAATACTATCCCAAAATAGTACTTCAAGATTTATCTCTATTTTTTCATTTTAGTTTCTAAACCAACAACAATAGAAAAAAAAATTCTAAATAAAAACAACTTTTTTGTTTCTTTTGATGAAAAATAAATGCTTGAATGTTAGATGTTGATATTTTTGAGTGATCATCTCAAAGTTTCAACTCAACAACACAAAAATCCAAGTTCTTTAGAAATACCTAACTTGAAATTCTGACTTACAGAGGGCATGGGGTGGCTGTACATCAGGAGGTAGTGCAGGTCACCTACTGATTGGAAGGTTGGTGGTTTGATCCTTGGCTCCTCTAGTCTGCATGTCAAGCCCAAGTTGCTCTCCGATGCATCCATCGGAGTATGAATGTGTGTGAATGTAGTTAGATAGCATTAAGTACAGAGAAAGTGCTTGTGTGTTTGGGTGAATGTGGCATGTTATATAGAGCGCTTTGAGTACTCTGGGAGAGTAGAAAAGCGCTATATAAGAATCAGTCCTTCCATAGCTTCCATACATACTGGCTGCAAGGACAACATAAAATGAAAGCACTTCAACGTTTCTCTGTTTTATTAATATTTTCCCTCTAACTCAGATTGGGGGCCAATCATATTTAGACTCACCACATACCCCCCCTCTGGACACGCCCCTGGTCTAAGTCGTTTTTTTTAAACTTTTTTTTTTTTTTTTTTACTTCGTTGCTCACTGTTAAGACTCAACGAGCGCTTCATATGCAGCATTATGAAAGAGCTTTAAAAGCAGTAACAGATGCTTACAGATGAACGTATATTAGCTCACGTCGAGGGGAGAGAGTTCGTGCGTGCGCGCGCGGGCAGCTAGGCAGCTGCAGCTCTTGAGCCGACAGCTCTGCAGTGACAGTGGGAAGTACAATCCGCGTGCAGTCAGCGCGAGGCAAAGACCTACTGACAACAAGCTGATGAGGGGACACCACACGGTAAGAACAGCTGGCCTGATGTGACTTTACTGCACTTTTATGAAGTTTTTTTCACGATTTTTTTTCGCTGTCATGGAGTTTAACGCGTTAGCACGTTTGAAACAATATGATGTGTTTTCTCCTAACGAAGCCCCCACCACCCAAAAAAAAAACCCCCCAGAAAACTAAGAGTTTCTGTAAATGGACTCCAGCTGATGTATGATGGATGCAAATGTACAGTGACCTGTCAGGAGTTGTATGATAAGTGAGGAAAATCATCGCTGGGTGGAAGAAAATAGTTCCACGCTGTCCTCAAGAAATGTTATTATCAGGTCTAATCTTACCTCCGTATCTTGGATTACACAAGAACTTATTCTGATTGTGCAACAAGCATTTGAGTAAGGCAATTAAGAGCTATACACTATAGTGAGCTCATGCCCAAATGGTTCCCTGTGATAGTTTCCCTCCTGTTACTTATGGGACTTTTCCTTTCCACTCCTCTGCAGTCTGCTGATTTATGTAATGTAGCTGGAATGAAAAGTGCTGCGCAGGGGGTGGAAATCTGGCTTACTGAGAGGGAAACCGATGAGGAGGCTTGTTTTAATCATTAGTCTTATGGTGTCACTGACATGCAGCTTGTGCTGGGAATTGATGGTTTTGAGATGTACATTGAGGTGGGGAATCACTGATAATTTATTAACTTAATTTAATGTTATATATGTGACTCTTAAAGGAGCAATAAACAAGATTTTTGGCTTTTTCAGAAACCACTAAGTTACTTTAATATGCTTTTGGGAGGTTGATCAGGTTGTTGGTCAACACCGATGACTCACAGATTATTTCACCAGATGCTCAGATTGTTTGTTCAAGTTCTCACATGGACCATGGTGCTATGAGCGGGAAATCAGCAGCAAGCCAAGGTTTGTTTCTACCTAAAGTATTTGTTTGGCCTGACAGTTGTGCTGTATGTTCGCCTCAACTTCTCACCGGGGAGAGAAAATAACAATAACATTTCAGTTTTAGTGGATTGTTTTACTATTGCCGCTTTCAAAATGTAAACGGCAGATTCAAAATGTGTCATTGGGTTACAGGGCTGGACTGGGACAAAAAATCAGCCCGGGCATTTTGACTAGAGACTGGCCCACCAGGTATTATAGGAAAAACCATAAAGCCTTTGAATGAAAACAAACGCTGTTGTTGGTATATATGTATCAGTCTAATAAACTTAAACCTACACCATCCTCCCTATTCTGGTATTCTAAACTGTACCCGAAAGTAGACTGCTTGGTCGAGTTAACCTCCTAAACTATCTAGAACACATGGTGAAAACCTGAAATTAAGACAGAGGAGACTAGAGGTGAGACATGATCATTACTTGTCACGGTCCTGGGTCGGGTCGACCCAGCATTTTGAGTTTCTTATGTTTTGGTTTATTTTTGCATTATGGATTGGTTATTCTCTGGTGATACTGTTTTGATTACAATTATATTCTGATTCTTTAGTTATCTGATGATGATGTTGATGACGATGATGATTATGTCTGGTTTAGGTTTTGTTATCTTGCCCTTATGTTTGGTTTAGGTTGCCCGTGCTTAGTCTTCTCTGCCCGTATGTCCCTCTGTTTGTCCATGACGTCATTATGCCTGTTTACGAGTCTGTCTCTGTCTGGCGTGTGCTTCCTGTCTTATTTTGTAGGTCTGTGTCCTTTGTCAGTGCGTTCAGCTTTGTGCTCTCCCTGTCTCGTCAGTGTAATCAACGTCAGCCGTGTCTCCCAGCTGTTTCCTCTTTGCTCCGTTCACCTCTTGTATTTAGTGTCTGTGTCTTCCCCTACTCGGTGTCGCATCGTTAACGTCTGTTCACCCTCACTTGCTGCGTGTTTAAGATTTCCAGTCCTCCTGCATCTCTGTTTAGAGTTTTGTTTGCTTTTGTGAGTTTTATTTTATCTTGATGTTCTGCTCCAGCAATAAAGCTGCATTTTCTGTCTAAACCTCGTGTCCTGAGAATCCTGCATTTTGGGTCCACCACTCCTGCCTGCCTGCCACACAGCCGACCATGACATTACTGATTACTGATGACAGATTTAGATATATTTTCATAAACCATTCATTTACCACATCAATAAACAGCATGGCAGGGCAAAATATTTTTTCTAACATGGCAACCTTTAAAAAGTGAAAGGAGATAGAAAGACAGGTGAGAAAGAATACAACTTTCCCCTGCACAGTTACCAGCTGTCAGCTACATATAAAAAGGATCCTGGTGTTATTTGTCTCTCAGAAACAGTTCATAACTTCCCTTCAACTCATTCATGTCACCTAAAAGGTAAACCTGTTTCTCCATCACCTGTTCAGCGCTGATGATTCAGTAAGGACATCTCCTGGTTTCATCTTCATGTTTCCCTCTCACCAGATAACCAAACCGACATCATGACCAGCAGCTTTTACAGCTGTGGCTCCAGCAAACATCAGCTGATACTAGAAATGAATAATATATAAATTCTAACAACAGCTGATCAAGCTTAAACGTGCTGCTGTTGTTTAGTGCGACATCCGCTGGTTTCTTCTTTCTGGCGCAAAGTGGGCAATAAACAAATGAGAGAAAAGCCAATCAGCTGATCATTGATCAGTTTCATTATTGAAGTAGAAACAGGAGAGGGAGGGGGGAGAATGAGAGAAGAAGAGGCAGCTGTGCAGCAAAGACAGAATAACTCCAGCTTTGTGTCTTTTTCATTGTAGCTGAAGTCCGGGACAAACTGTGCTCCTTTTCACCTCAATACGAAACGCGCAATATTTTCTCTGAATACGAGACGATTCCGTTTTTTACAGGACGGTTGGAAACTCTAATAATTAACCTTATAAATAAAATAAGATAAAACAAGTTCAACATCAATAACATCATAGCACCCGCCCAGCTGTATAGAAACTCCGTCATGCTAGCTAGTACGCCGTACGAGCTATTGTAACTGACTGTGAAAAGTCAGCATAACGAAAATAAACTCCACCTAAACTTGGTTTATATCTGACCCAGATAGACTGCAGGTCAGAACTTCTTACCTAAAGTTCAGTTCACCGCCTTGGGTCTCTGCTCCTCCTGCCTTTCCGTCATCCACCTGCCAGCGTGTTGTATCTGCTGGCCTCCACCACTTGCTAATGTTACTGAATCTGTAGAAGCTCCGCAATAGCCACCACCAAACAACTGAGTTATTTTTACACATCTCCCTTCATCTGGCCAATCCGCCACCTTTCAGTGTTTATACCGTTACGGGAAAAAAAACGAAAAATCACCATCGGCCCGCCGGGCAAATGCCCGGTATGCCCGATGGCCAGTCCAGCTATGTTGGGTTACAACATGGCTGTAACCCAGTTCCTGAGAAGCCCCCTCTGATCCCCAGTATATATTGAAATGTTATCATTTCCCTTAGGAACTGAGAGACCAACAAGCTTTGTAGTTGGAAAAATATGTTGGTTAATGAATTGTTTAGCGGCATCATTAATTACCTCTGCTGAATGGGTTATGGAATTGGTTCGGTTCGTTTTTCCGTTTGTTAGGGAGATTACTTATTTGCAGGTTTTTGATGTTTAATAATGCAGCAAGGTTTGTTTTTTTTAAAAAGAATACAGTTTTCTCTTAAATATATTACTTGAGTTCTTATCTTTGCTCGCTGTCTTTTTTAGTGATAATATCTGACTTCATGCTGCTGTTTTAAATGTTAGACCTAAAGCAGAGATTAATGCACTGGAAAAACAACTTATTAATTACAACACATCATTATTTTCAGAAGTCTTGGGCAATTCTTCATGTCATGTCATGTCATTAATGCTGTCACCATCAGTTTTGTATTTTCTTTTCTTTTTTTGCCCTTAGATTTAGAATGAAACTGATGCTCTTGGATTCAGGAAATATTGATGCAATCTTTACTATTTTCTGACCTTTTATATTAAAAAAAAAATGTTAAAGGCAAGAAAAAGGTTCCCCAAAGCAAAAATGCATTAACGATTTTAGATTGCGTCTTTGACATCCTTATTGTTCTCAGCCAGTTTCAAAAGTTCATCACTGACAGATTTTCCAACAGGGGATTCACCGATCTAGCCTTTGGATTAAGATCCGATGTTGATCTACTCTTGTTCTTTAGCCTTTATTTATATAAAGGTGTGTAGATTTCCAGGTGAGCTCACATTAGTCCCATCTTAACTCAAAACACTAAGTCCTGTGTGTCCTGTGTGTCTGTTCTCCAACACAAGAATAGACTTAGCGGATCCCTTGCTTTAAAACAGGACCTGTTTAATTACGTCCTGTGTTTTACTCCTTCACTCTTCCCACACCACTGCTACAACATGGTAGAAACTAGCAGCTAGTTTGGAGCTATTTCACACTTGTTATAGCAACAGCTTTTATTTGTATGTTTGCAGCACTTTGGGATTTAACCTCAAGCTGTTAAGTCAGCTAAGTAAGGTCAAGTGAATTGACACAACTGAAAAGTTCCACTGACAAATCTTTCCTTGTTAGTTTCGCTCTCTTGCTAACTTTCACTATTGCTATGTTTGGTTTGACGCTTTAGAGAAGCTTTTATTGCATTTATGGTAACATAGTGTGTCTTACTGAACCCTCAGTCAAGGTGTCAGTGTTGTATCAGAACTGGAAAAAGTTGCATTCATGCATGTTTGTTTACTTATTTATCTGACGTTTCGTTTATCTGATGTGCTGCTGTTGATTTCTGAGCCAAGTCAGAAGATGTATAGCTAATATTCAGAATGCGTCCTTGTTTATCTTTTTAAGATGCAACATTTTAATACAAACAGTACTAAAGTACATTAAACATAAACACAACAACTAAAAGCAGCAACTGGAAAAATGGCAATCGCTAAAAAAACGTAGATAATTGAAAACCAATCTAGGAGAGTGTTGCCAAAATTGTGCAAAGCTGCTTTTAATGTGGCATTTTCCCCAAATGATCTTGAAAATCTCCTCAAAACTGTAAACGCAAATAAATTCTTGAAATAAGTTTGTTGTAATGCAGTCAG